TACCAGTACGAAGAATCTTATAATATTATTAGCAGACTTTCTACATCGTGTACCAATGGTACGTTTAAATGGAGCAGYGATTGGATGTTATWACTAGAAGGATTAATTCAAGTGCATATTATCAGCAGTAGGAACAAAAATATGTTGATACCGAGTAGGATAGAAAAACTCGTYATCGACTTGGCACAATTAACTGACAAAATGAAAGAAAATAATGGTAAGCATTTRAATGTTAATGTTAACTTTTTCGKKGTTATTAAGATGWAATATAGACCAAGAGTTGTGTGTAAAACTCTTCAAATTCTCTAACAGATAAATCAAAATTAGAATGTATTTATACTACTTTATGATCATATTAGRAGTAAAACGAAATAAATTTAATTTTCATTTATTTATAATTAAAGAATAAACAATTAAAATTTATATTATTTATTGAATTTTGCCTTGATATTAAATTATTTACAATTATTTCGTTATTTGTAATAATCGGCAGTCTTTTTTTCGAAACGTTTTAGTACTAACAGTTATAATTGTGAAATAATAAAAAATTTATTAAAACAAAAGTCATTGTTAAGAAAGAAGGCAATATCTCTAATTTTTTTTTAAACCATATTCAAGTAATTTCTGCATTAARCATTCTCGTAAATTATAATTGTTATTTTATTGAAATACATTTTTTTAAACAATTATTTAAATATTTTTTTTGGTAAGTTCCTCCACACAAAAAAAAACGACATATATCATAGTCTAATAAATTATACAGTATATTATGATTTGTTTTCACAGARCTATCTATGAGATTCGACAAACAGATAAATGTGATAGCTTGCCCCGGAATTGAGATGATTGGGATTCAATTTCAAGAAATAATATTTGACAACAGTCWTTGGGAAATTATCGCGGATGAGCTTCGATTTATCCAGAATATAGATAAAACAGAGATGAATATTGACGACGTATTAAACGTAGTACTAGGATTAATTTCCACAAATATTAGCCAAAAAAATATAGAAAATATATTGGTAATAAATGACTCGAAGAACAAAAATGAAAACATTTTGGAGTTTCTCGAGAATATCATACAAAGGACGAGGAAAAACCTCAATATAAAATTAATTAGCAGAGAGTTCCTTAACCAGACAATGAATGAGGATTTTATTTTGACGATTATAAATAATGCGCATTTTAAGGATATAAAAAAATTCATTAGTACTCTTGGTAAAGAATCATTTTTATTGACAATCATAGAAACAGAAGAGAAAGATAAGGTGATTTCTGCATTAGCAAGTGTTGGATTAAATGTCATCTTAAAAATCAACATTTCTCTTTGTCGTATTGTTCTACTTTTACGTAAAGAAAGAAATTTAAGAAAAGCGATTGTTTTGAGTAACCAAGAAAACTGTCTAGATCGGTTAAAGATCTGTTTACGAGACTCCAAATATGACAATGTTTTATTTGTGGTTAACACTATCAAGGATAATGATTTATTTGAGATACTTCAAGGTATAAGACAAGAACCGGGATATAAGAAACTTCATATTTTCGATCTACAAGATGCAAAAGCACCAAAATTCTCACTTCAAAATGAATTCTATGAATCACAAGTAAAACTTAATCTTCGTGAAAACGTCTTAGCGCCAAATGGGGAATGGGGCACATACAGATGGATGCCATTGCCAGTGAAGCTCACTTCTTCTTTTCGTAAGAAAGCAAAAATTAATAAACCAATTTCTTTAGAATGGACGGAAGACCTACCATTGTCTAGAAGAAAAAATGAAAGTGTCGTAAAAGTAGAGTTTGCAGCATTCGACTT